AGGGCAGGGTAGTGCAGGGTAGGGCAGTGCAGGGCAGCGTAGTACAGGGCAGGGTAGTGCAGGGCAGGGTAGTGCAGGGCAGGGTAGCAGGGCATAGTAGTGCAGGGCAGGGTAGTGCAGGGCAGGGTAGTGCAGGGCAGGGTAGCAGGGCAGGGTACGTAAGGCAGGGTAGTGCAGGGCAGGGTAGTGCAGGGCAGGGTAGTGCAGGGCAGGGTAGTGCAGGGCAGGGTAGTGCAGGGCAGGGTAGCAGGGCAGGGTAATGCAGGGCAGGGTAGTGCAGGGCAGGGTAGTGCAGGGCAGGGTAATGCAGGGTAGGGTAGTGCAGGGTAGCGTAGTGCAGGGCAGGGTAGTGCAGTGCAGGGTAGGGAAGTGCAGGGTAGCGTAGTGCAGAGCAGGGTAGTGCAGGGCAGGGTAGTGCAGGGCAGGGTAGCAGGGCAGGGTAGTGCAGGGAAGGGTAGTGCAGGGCAGGGTAGTGCAGGGTAGGGAAGTGCAGGGTAGCGTAGTGCAGGGCAGGGTAGTGCAGGGCAGGGTAGTGCAGGGCAGGGTAGCAGGGCAGGGTAGTGCAGGGAAGGGTAGTGCAGGGCAGGGTAGTGCAGGGCAGGGTAGCAGGGCAGGATAGTGTAGGGCAGGGTAGTGCAGGGCAGGGTAGTGCAGGGCAGGGTAGTGTAGGGCAGGGTAGTGCAGGGCAGGGTAGTGCAGGGCAGGGTAGTGCAGGGCAGGGTAGTGCAGGGCAGGGTAGTGCAGGGCAGGGTAGCAGGGCAGGGTAGTGCAGGGCAGGGTAGCAGGGCAGGGTAGTGCAGGGCAGGGCAGTAGGGCAGGATAGCAGGGCAGGATAGCGCAGGGCAGGGTAGTGCAGGGCAGGTTAGTGCAGGGCAGGGTAGCAGGGCAGGGTAGTGCAGGGCAGGGTAGCAGGGCAGGGTAGTAGGGCAGGGTGGCAGGGCAGGGTAGTGCAGGGCAGGGTAGCAGGGCAGGGTAGTGCAGGGCAGGTTAGTGCAGGGCAGGGTAGCAGGGCAGGGTAGTGCAGGGCAGGGTAGCAGGGCAGGGTGGTGCACGGCAGGGTAGCAGGGCAGGGTAGTGCAGGGCAGGGTAGTGCAGGGCAGGGTAGCAGGGCAGGGTAGTGCAGGGCAGGGTAGTAGGGCAGGGTAGAGTAGTGCAAGGCAGGGTAGTGCAAGGCAGGATAGTGCAGGGCAGGGTAGTGTAGGGCAGGGTAGCAGGGCAGGGTAGTGCAGGGCAGGGTAGTGCAGGGCAGGGTAGCAGGACAGGGTAGTGCAGGGCAGGGTAATGCAGGGCAGAGTAGTAGGGCAGGGTAGTGCAGGGCAGGATAGTGAAGGGCAGGGTAGTAGGGGAGGGTAGCAGGGCAGGATAGCAGGGCAGGGTAGTGCAAGGGCAGGGTAGTGCAGGGTAGGGTAGTAGGGCAGGGTAGCAGGGCAGTGTAGCAGGGCAGAGTAGTGCAGGGCAGGATAGCAGGGTAGTGCATGTCAGGGTAGTGCAGGGCAGGGCAGCAGAGCAGGGTAGCAGGGCAGGGTAGTGCAGGGCAGGGTAGCATTGCAGGGCAGGGTAGCTGGGCAGGATAGCAGGGCAGGGTAGCAGGGCAGGGTAGCAGGGCAGGGTAGCAGGGCAGGGTAGTGCAGGGCAGGGTAGTGCAGAGCAGGGTAGTGCAGGGCAGGGTAGCGCAGGGCAGGGTAGTGCTGGGCAGGGTAGCAGGGCAGGGTGGTGCAGGACAGGGTAGCAGGGCAGGGTAGTGCAGGACAGGGTAGTCCAGGGCAGGGTAGTGCAGGGCAGGGTAGTGCAGGGCAGGGTAGTGCAGGGCAGGGTAGCAGGGCAGGGTAGTGCAGGACAGGGTAGCAGGGCATGGTAGCATGGCAGGGTAGTGCAGGGCAGGGTAGCAGGGCAGGGTAGTGCAGAGCAGGGTAGTGCAGGGCAGGGTAGTAGGACAGGGTAGCAGGGCAGGGTAGCAGGGCAGGGTAGTGCAGGGCAGGGTTAGTGCATGTCAGGGTAGTGCAGGGCAGGGTAGTAGGGCAGGGTAGCAGGGCAGGGTAGCAGGGCGTGGTAGTGCAGGGCAGGGTAGTAAGGCAGGGTAGAAGGGCAGGGTAATGCAGGGCAGAGTAGTAGGGCTGGGTAGCAGGGCAGGGTAGCAGGGCAGGGTAGTGCAGAGCAGGGTAGTGCAGGGCAGGGTAGTAGGACAGGGTAGCAGGGCAGGGTAGCAGGGCAGGGTAGTGCACGGCAGGGTAGTGCATGTCAGGGTAGTGCAGGGCAGGGTAGTAGGGCAGGGTAGCAGGGCAGGGTAGCAGGGCGTGGTAGTGCAGGGCAGGGTAGTAAGGCAGGGTAGAAGGGCAGGGTAATGCAGGGCAGGGCAGTAGGGCTGGGTAGCAGGGCAGGGTAGCAGGGCAGGGTAGTGCAGGGCGGGGTAGTGCAGGGCAGGGTAGTGCAGGGCAGGGTAGTGCAGGGCAGGGTAGTAGGGCAGGGTAGCTGGGCAGGGTAGCAGGACAGGGTAGTGCAGGGCAGGGTAGTGCAGGGCAGGGTAGCAGGGCAGGGTAGTGCAGGGCAGGGTATTGCAGGGCAGAGTAGTGCAGGGCAGGGTAGTAGGGCAGGGTAGCAGGGCAAGGTAGCAGGGCAGGGTAGTACGGCAGGGTAGTAGTGCAGGGTAGTACGGCAGGGTAGTAGTGCAGGGTAGTAGGGCAGGGTAGTAGTGCAGGGTAGTACGGCAGGGTAGTAGTGCAGGGTAGCAGAGCGGGATAGTAGTGCAGGGTAGTACGGCAGGGTAGTAGTGCAGGGTAGTAGTGCAGGGTAGCAGAGCGGGATAGTAGTGCAGGGTAGTACGGCAGGGTAGTAGTGCAGGGTAGTACGGCAGGGTAGTAGTGCAGGGTAGTAGGGCAGGGTAGTACTGCAGGGTAGTACGGCAGGGTAGTAGTGCAGGGTAGTAGGGCAGGGTAGTGGTGCAGGGTAGTACGGCAGGGTAGTAGTGCAGGGCAGTAGGGCAGGGTAGTTGTGCAGGGTAGTAGGGCAGGGTAGTTGTGCAGGGTAGTAGGGCAGGATAAGGGAGGAGAGAGAGAGAGAGAGAGAGAGAGAGAGAGAGAGAGAGAGAGAGAGAATTTAAAGAGAGAGAGAGAGAGAGAGGATTTAAGAGAGAGTAGATGATTTTTCTTAAATCCTCAAATCATCTCATTTTTTTCTATAATTATAAATCAATATGTCAACCAAAAAAAAAATATTTATAAAATTTTGAAAACAGTGAAAGATTTTTTAATCGCAATAAATCAGGGGAAATGTGCAGGACTCGAACCATGGCGGGCCACTGCTAAAACTGGCAGTCCAGTGCGCTAACAACTGTACCTAGCTGACTCTTATTAAGATCCATCCTCCTACCCATTATCCTGTTTTACTACCAACTATCCTACCCTACTACCCACTATCCTGCCTTACTACCCACTATCCTGCCTTACTACCCACTATCATACCCTACTACCCACTATCCTGCCTTACTACCCACTATCATACCTTACTACCCACTATCCTGCCTTACTACCCACTATTATACCCTACTACCCACTATCCTGCCTTACTACCCACTATCATACCCTACTACCCACTATCCTGGCTTACTACCCACTTCATACCCTACTACCCACTATCCTGCCTTACTACCGACACTATCATACCCTACTACCCACTATCCTGCCTTACTACCAACTATCCTGCCCTACTACCCACTATCCTGCCTTACTACCCACTATCCTGCCCTACTACCCACTATCCTACCCTACTAACCACTATCCTACCCTGCTACCCACTATCCTACCCTACTACCCATTATCCTACCCTACTACCCACTATCCTACCCTACTACCCACTATCCTGTCCTACTACCCACTATCCTCCCCTACTACCCACTATCCTACCCTACTACCCACTATCCTACCCTACTACCCACTATCCTACCCTACTACCCACTATCCTACCCTACTACCCACTATCCTACCCTACTACCCACTATCCTACCCTAGTACCCACTATCCTACCCTACTACCCACTATCCTACCCTACTACCCACTATCCTACCCTAACTACCCACTATCCTACCCTACTACCCACTATCCTACCCTACTACCCACTATCCTCCCCTACTACCCACTATCCTACCCTACTACCCACTATCCTACCCTACTACCCCATATCTTACCCTACTACCCACTATCCTACCCTACTACCCACTATCCTACCCTACTACCCACTATCTTACCCTACTACCCACTATCCTACCCTACTACCCACTATCCTACCCTACTACCCACTATCCTACCCTACTACCCACTATCTTACCCTAGTACCCACTATCCTACCCTACTACCCACTATCATGGGCAGGTTAGCATGGGCCGCACACTGCGACCACAAATGCAAAGGCGGCCATTGTGAGTGGTTAGCGCACTGGCCCGTGAGTTTTAGAGCTCACTGGTCAAGGGTTCACGCCCTTGCTTTCCAATTTTTTTTCAGTCATGTTATGGTATGATATATAACAAAAATATTTTGAAAGAAGTTAAATATGGGTTTTTTGGGGGGTTTATGGGTTTTTGGGTTTGTGGGTTTTGAGTTTTTGGGTTTGTGGGTTTTTGGGATTTTGGGTTTGTGGGTTGTTGGGTTTGTGGGTTTTTTGGTTTGTGGGTTGTTGGGTTTGTGGGTTGTTGGGTTTGTGGGTTGTTGGGTTTGTGGGTTGTTGGATTTGTGGGTTGGGGGTTGTTGGAAGGTTTGGGTTGTCGGGCTTGTGGGCTGATGGGTTTATGGATTGTTTGGGTTATGGGTATTAAGGGTTATGAATTGGAAGCTAAATTTTTGGGAGTGGGATCACCCACGGGATTCTGAGAGCAGCACAACACAGGGACAGAGAATGAAGGAGAGAGAGAGAGAGAGAGAGAGAGAGAGAGAGAGAGAGAGAGAGAGAGAGAGGAGAGAGAGAGAGAGAGAGAGAGAGAGAGAGAGAGAGAGAGAGAGATAATAACTCACCCTGTATCCTCCAAGGTCATTCACCATGCAGGAGAAGGTAGCGTCTCGACCCACTGGTACTGACACATTGTTGAGCGGAGCAGCGAAGTCTGGCTGACCCACCACCCAACCTGCAACACAACACACATATATTAATAACTAGATTCTATTGGTGGTAGTAGTCGTATTATTATTATTATTATTATTATTATTATTATTATTATTATTATTATTATTATTATTATTATTATTATTATTATTTTATTATTTATTATTATTGTAATTATTATTACTGTTTTTATTAATATTATTACTGTTATTATTACTACTATTATTATTATTATTATTATTACTATTATTATTATTGCTGTTGTTGTTATGGTTATAATTAAAATTATTATGTTAATCATTGGGAAAGTTAACTCCGTATTTTAATAGGTATAAGACAGTACAAAGTTTTCTCTCCATGCTAGTACAGTTTTAGGCCTCCCTAAAGAAAGGGTAAAATAAGGATGCAGTAATAAAGACAAAAAGAGTCGATAAAGCACTCTATAACTGGGAATGACAACAAGGTCATTTTTATTGATCTAGGAGAGTGTTGTGGCGGTGTGGTCAGGCAGTCTCCTGCAGGGGCGAGGTAAGCCAGGGATGGCTGGGGAGTGTCCTGGACGCCCCTGGGTGACCTTATTAGTCAAGTTTCTCATGAAAGTGTCGTTTTACTGCCCCAGAATGTCACTTTTGCTTTATGTAGACCTGTCTAGGTACCAGGTTTTGACGAGTAGATGTAATTCTAATAATAATAATAATAATAATAATAATAATGTGACTGTAGGTGTTCTTGGGGGTAGTGTTCTGGGCCCTCTCCTGTTCCTCGTCCACTCCAGCAAATGGATGCAAGTCTTATGTATCTTTATCTAGTTATACATGAATGGTATACAATACCGACAAGATGAAAATTAGAGACATGTGAAACATCTGGGTATATTGTAGACGTTTCGCCATCCAGTGGCTTTATCAATACAGATTCTAGGACATAGCTTGAAGACAGTAGAACTATTGTATACCATTCATGTATAACTTATCAGACACTGCAACATCATGGAATCTTGGTTCAGAGGACATCTACATGACCTTCACGGCTACTACAACTACTACTACCACTAACCCATCCCTTTGGGTAGGATCTACTTCCACTGGGGAATCCCGCCTACCAGTGACTATGCCCTCGTCTGCTACACGTCCCTATCCACTGACGCCTATATAAGCACCAGCCTTCTTGTCTGTGCTCCAGAATCTCCACAACTACGGTGCTCTTCACACCAATTCCAAGGCTGAGGGACTGATTACCTCATCTTTTGTATATAGTTCTGTCTTCTAATCATGTCCTGGAATTTGTATTGATAAAGCCACTGGATGGCGAAACGTCTACAATAAAGATACCCAGATGTAGCACATATGTCTAATTTTTATCTTTATCTCATATACGGTATCAGTGAACGAGGTTGAACCACAACAAACCATCTGCAACTAATCAGGAATTAAGAGTGGTCATCCAGGAGTGACACCAGCCACTGGGTGTAAGCAAGACAAATCACCTAAAGATTGGTACTTTGACTGATTATATAGATCGTTCATTTTAACGTTCATTTCATATTTCTGATTTCAACGTCTGCACACACACACACACACACACACACACACATACCACACACACACACACACACACACACACACACACACACACACACACACACACACACACATACACACACACACACACACACACACACACACACACACTCACACACACACACACACACACACAACACACACACAACACACACACACTCACACAGTCTACCAGCATCACCGCGACCACTTCAAGGTCTTAATTCTACTCTGATGCCCCTTTGAGATAACGGGGTTGTCCGCACCAGCCTATTTTCCCTTTACACCCCCCCATTCCCTTTTCTCCCTTCTACCCCTCTCTCTACCCCCTTCCCCTCCTCCTACAGCCCCCACCCAATTCTCCCCACCACTACCTCTTCCTCCGGTCTCCTTTAACCCCATTGCCTCCCCTCATCTAACAATAATCCTCCCCATTAATTCCCCTCATCTACCAGACATCCTCCCCATTAATTCCCCTCATCTACCAGTAATCCTCACCATTCCCCTCATCTACCAGACATCCTCCCCATTAATTCCCCTCATCTACCAGTAATCCTCCCCATTACCCATTCTTTCATGAACATGGGGTAATGGTTCACTAATTACCCATGTAATTACCAAGACTGGCAAACACGTACGCCACGGACCGGTTGATTTCTGCTAAAAAGGACAGTAAGCAAATTACGGTACTTTCTTTTGCATATGGTACGCTACGGTACTTTCCAGGTACGACAAACAGAAAGAAAAACAGTACCGTTTGGTACCACAGTAACAGCCTTGATTCTGCTAAACAGAAGCCACAACAGTAACAACAACAGCAACCACAACAGTAACAGCAGCAAAACAGAAACCAAAAAAGCAATAGAAACCACAACAGTAATACAACAACAGAAACCACAACAGTAATACAGCAACAGAAACCACAACAGCAACACAGCAGCAAAACAGAAACTGCAGCAGCAACACAGCAGCGAAACAGAAAAAAACAACAGTAACACAGCAGCAAAACAAATAATAACAGCAACACTGCAACAAAGCAGAAACCACAACAGTAACACAACAACAGAAACCAAAGCAGCACAACAGTAACACGGCAACAAAACATAAATCACAACAGAAACCACAACAGTAACAGCAACAGAAACCACAACAGTAACACAACAACAGAAACCACAACAGTAACACAACAGAAACCACAACAGTAAAACAACAACAAAACAGAAACCACAACAGTAACACAACAACAAAACAGAAACTACAACAGTAAACACAACCACAAAGCGGAAACCACAACAGTAACACAACAACAGAAACCAGAACAGTAACACAAAAGAAACCACAACAGTAACACAACAACAAAACAGAAACCACAACAGTAACACAACAACAAAACAGAAACCACAACAGTAACACAACAGTAACACAACAACAAAACAGAAACCACAACAGTAACACAAAAGAAACCACAACAGTAACAACAACAGAAACCACAACAGTAACAACAACAGAAACCACAATCAGTAACACAACAAAACAGAAACCACAACAGTAACACAACAACAGAGCAGAAACCACAACAGTTACACCACAACAAAACAGAAACCACAACAGCGGCAACAAAAGCCCCAAAAAAAACACCTTTTTTGAGGAAGAAATACTACAAAAAAACACGAAATAAATTAACCAATTAAAAACCATTGACAAAAAAGTTCCATCCCAAATAATTTCATTAATATTTATGTCAGCCTAAGTTTGTAATATTCGTAATTCCAAACACACTTCACATATATGTCTATACTGTATTTGGAGTTCAAAATGATTGTATGTGTTTATATATATATATATATAATAATATAATCTATAATAAATATATATATATATATATATATATATAATATATATAATATATATATATATATATATATATTATATATATATGTAAATTATACCCACGAACCGAGTGGTATTGATCAGTAACAACACTGCGACCAGCTAAGGAGTCAAAACACACCTGCTACAAACACTCAAGACAGAACTTCATAGACAGTCATACACACACACACCCACACTCTCACACACACTCACATCACACACTAACACATACACACACTCAACACACACACACACACACACACACACACACACAACACACCATACCCACACCTCTCACACACACACACAAACACACACACACACACAACACACACACACAACACACACGCACAACAACACACTCACACCACTAACACAACACACACACAATCACACACACAACACACACACACAACACACACACACACAACACCACACACACAACACACACAAACACACACATCACACACAACACAAACACAACAACACACACAACACACACAACACAATACAAACACACAACACAACACACACACAACACACACACAACACACACACACACACACACACAACACACACACACACACACACACACACACACACACACACACACACACACAACAACACACACACACCAACACACACACATAACACACACACTCAACACACACACACACACACACAACACACTCACACAACACACACAACCACACACACACAACACACACACACACACAACACACACAACAACACACACACAACACACACACACACACCACACACACCACATGGAGAGCCAGGATGTTGGACGTGGTGCTGGAAAAGCCTCATGCACCAACATGATAAGGACACTACCAGAGTGAGGGGGAGATGAACCAGCAAGATTGGACCTTGTGTCCACCCAGGGCAGCTCAGACATTGAGGACATCAAGTATGAGAGTCCCCTAGGAGCTAGCGACCACGTGGTTCTGTGCTTTGAATACATAGTAGAGCTGGCAAGTGGAGAGAATAAACAGAGTAGAATGGAAAAACCTGACTATAAAAGAGGGGAATACATAGGGTTGAAGAACTTCCTGCGGGAGGTCCCAGTGGGGACAGAGAACTGGCAGGAAAGCCAGTAAATGGAAATGATGGAATAGTAGCAACAAATGCAAGGAGGCAGTGGAAAAGGTCTTCCCAAGGCAACAGTAACAACGGGAAGACTCAGAACAAGCCCCGGTTCACCCGACGGTGTAAGGAGGCAAAAACAAAGTGCAATAGAGAATGGAAAAAGTACAGAAGGAACGAGAACACACGAAAATAGGGAGATCAGTCGCAGAGGCCAGGAATGAGTACGCACATGTAAGGAGGGAGGCCCGCGACAGTATGAAATACATAGCTGCACTGAGAATCAAGTACTGACCCGAAACTGTGTATAGCCACATCAGGAGGAAGACAACATCAAAGACCAGGTGATCAGATTAAGGACAGAATGTGGAGAACTCACAAGAAATGATCAGGAGTATGTGAGGAGCTGAACAGGAGATTCAAGGAAGTTTTACAGTAGAGACAGGAAGGGCTTGTGGGAAGACAGAACAGAGGGAACATCA